CCCACCTACACACCCACCACCCACCCACTCAAAGTCGCGGGCCAGCCCCTCCCCCCCACACTTCGGACTTGGGGCATGTGTGGGTGGGTGGGTGGAGCGTGTGTGGGTGGGTGGGGCGTGTGTGGGTGGGTGGGTGGGTGGTGCATGGGTGGGGTGTGTGTGGGTGGGTGGGTAGGTGGGGTGTGGGTGGGTGGAGCATGTGTGGGTGCGTGAGGCGTGTGTGGGTGGGTGGGTGGTTGGGGCGTGGAGTCGAGTAGACTTTCGTAGAGTGTCATAGGGTAGAGTACAGTAGAGTAGAGTGTCGTAGAAAAAAGTGTCGTAGAGTAGGGTAGAGTATGTACAGTAGCGTCATAGAGTAGAATGTCGTAGAGTAGAGTGTCATAGAGCAAAGTGTCGTGTAGTAGAGAAAAGTAGACTGTTGTAGAGTAGAGTATCGTAGAGTAGAGTGTCGTAGAGTGTCGTAGAGTGTCGTAGAGTGTGGTAGAGTAGAGTATGTGTGTGCGTGTGTGTGTGAGTGTGTGTATCACGTGTGTGTGTGTGTATAGGTGTGTGAGTGTCCTCTGTGTGTGTGTGTGTGTGTGTGTGTGTGTGTGTGTGTGTGTGTGTGTGTGTGTGTGTGTGCCTGTCTGTCTCTCTGTGTATGTGTGTGTGTGTATGTGTGTGGGTGTGTGGGTGTGTGGGTGTGTGGGTGTGTGGGTGTGTCTATGTGTGTATGTGGGTGTGTCGTAGAGTAGTTTTTTTTCAAAGTTGCGGGTCAGCCCTTGCCCCCCACACTTCGGACTTGGGTAAGGGTGTGTGTGAACTGCTATGGTGCTAAGCGGCGAAAAGCACGCTTCAGGGCGTGCACCAACCCTATGGGTGACTACATCGGCCATCTCTAACTTCAGCCTGACAATTAAACCGCTCCCCCCTATACTAACCAAACCCCTCCCCAAAAAAAAATCCGCCCATCCCCCTCCTCCTCCCTTTGACACCACTAATGTTCACCCTCCAGTAATGGAGTGGATGGCTATGGTTTACCACCATAAACCCAATGTACGTTTGACTGATACTAATGTTGCCCATTGATGTATTGATGGACTGGTACATGGTTTTGTTTCCCATACTGGGAAATCCGTGCTAGACACACAACAACCACCCACCCACTCACCC